GCCGGTGCCGCGCACCGGCTGCCAGATGAGGCTGTAGTAGACGGCGAGCACGATGGCGGCCAGCGAGACGGACAGCACGTAGGCCAGCACGGTGGCCAGGCGCACCCACTTCTTGTTGGTCTTGGCCGCCATGCGCGCCTTCTTGTCCCCGGTGTAAGTGGCGGGCTTGCCCCGCTCCGCGCCCGCCTCCTTCTCCTTCATCGGGGCCCGGCCCTTGGCCCGCTGCTCCACCGAGCCCTCCGTGCTGGCTCCGGCCCGGATCGGCCGCCGCCGCCGCTCAGGACATGCCGGTACCGCCCGCGCCGCCGCCGGTGCCGCTGCCCGCGCTGCCCCGCCGGGGGCGAGGGGCGGTGCGAAGGGGGCAACACCGCCCCCAGGGGAGGGGACCGAGGGAGGGGACACGGGAGAGGAGGGCGGGCGAGGGGCGGAGCACCTTTAAAAGGACTCCCGGCAGAGGGGTGCCCCCTCCCGTCCGCCAGGGCCCCGCAGAACTGCCCAGCCCTCCGGGAGCCCCTCGTTGCGGAGAGAGGCAGGTGATGGCTTAGTTACTCGCCGGGCCTCAGTGAAGGTTCCTGGCACAAGCCCGGAGCTGGAGGAGGTCAGGAGGCCCCTCTCTACCCTGGCCTCTTGGAGTTACTTCTTGGTGCCTCCCTGCTGCAGGTACGTGCTGCCTGCACCCTCTGGGAGGCTGGAAAGGTGCCCGAGCTAAAAGGCTTTGTCCAAACTGACCTCATCCCAAACCTGTCACTGATACAATCCAAACCTCCTCTTAAAGCATGGGTTCACATCACTCCCCAGGTGTTAGTTCCCTACAAAAGCATTATATTCTCACGTTGAAAAGACAACTAAACCACCAATTTAGGGTATAAATTAGCTTTGTTTTCTTTATGGGAATGATGTAGCTGCTTGTTTTACAATAATTTTCTTCCTCCTTTCAATCTCAGGTGTGGTAGTTGCAGCAGAAACTTCTTGTAAACCAGGACTTGCAGTTCTGGAGGAGGCAACAGTAGCTGGAGACCTGCCTGTTACCCAGAGAGGCTTCAGAGAAAGTGAGTGAGTTTTGAGTTTACAGCAGCATTTTATTTGTGCTCCCATATGATAGAAGGGGTTTGCCTTCAATACCATACTCCTAGTTGCAGGAAAATTGTGAGAGGAAAGTTGGGAGAGAGGGAAAAGTTTTTGCAGGAGGAAGAACAGAGCTTGCAGCTCTGAGGAAGACTTGTGAGGCAGAAGATATGTTAGGGAATAAATGGAGTAGCTTCAAAGTAGCTGTAATTTTTGGGAAAGGTGGACTGTGTTGGCCAGAGGCTCCAGGGCTGCTGTCTGCATGTGGGGGGGGAGCACTGCAGTGGGTCTGTGTGCACTGACTGGGCAGGGCTGGGAGCCCCAGTGTCCAGCAGCAAAAGGAGCACCTGGAAGGGGCTCAATGTGGGGTGCCTGGCTGATTGTTCTGACAGGGGCAGAGGAATTTGGAGACTAAACCTGCCTGTTCAGGGCAGAGGGGGCTCATTGCCCTTGGCTGGGGGGTTGGACTAGATGGTTTTTCAGGTTCCCTTCTAACCTAAATGATTTTGAGCTATAGATAGACTTGCTGTAGTCTCCTGAAGTATTTAACATTGATGAAACATTGCTGTGCACCTGGGGAATGTTTGTTAGAAGGTACTGGGGTCTTTCTTTGTCCCCTGTTTGTCTCCTGCCCTCATTGCTTACAGGTGATTGTATTCTCCTCGTCAAGGCCAATGTCCCAGACCTGAGCACATGAGCTGGAGTCACAGTCACACCTGGGCTGCATTAACTGATGACAGTTAATGCTGGCAGAGCTTCCTGAGTTACAGAATTGCCTTTTCTGTGGTGTACTATACATTCTACACAGACATTCCCTTGGACTGTATAAGTTTAGGATGAATTACCAGTGGGAATTTATAGCAGCTCTTACAAAATGGATTTTCTAGTAATTTTTCAGTGTGTTTTCCCTCAATGATGGGTTTGGTCCAGCCCGTTCTCCCCTTGATTCTCCTCTTCCATTCAGCAAGTGAAATGGTGATGAGTTGCTACCTCTCACAAGTCCTTTCCCTATGCTCTGGCTTAATTCCCGTTCTGGAATTTCTGGGGGAGAGGACTGACACGTACAGGCAGTTCTTGTGGGGCTGACTGAGGTCTTGGCAGTTTTGATGATTCCGATGCTTGTCTAGTTTAGGATGTCTTCCTGCATTTTAAGACTGTCCTGGGAGCCAGACTGGACTGGCTAAGGACATGCAGGGGAGTTGTAGGAACATTCCCAGCAACTGTGTGAGCGTGGTGTGGTTGAGATCCCAGCATGTCATTCCAGAGATGTTCTGCCTTCAGCCCAACAGCTTCACCTCCCCCCTGCACTTATTCGTGGCTCATTCATGCTGCAGTGGAGACCTGCCCTTGCTGGAACACACAGTGCCATGGTATTATTACAGAAATTCAGTGTTCTCGAGGCTCTCTCCTCCCTGCCAACCCTCCACTCTCATGGCTCTGAGTAAGCCCAGGCTTGTGTTCATTAAACGTTGTGAAGTCTTGGCTTTTGCCAAAGTCAGGTGAAAGCTTTTCTTTTTACTGTGAACAAGTAACTGGGTGTGAGCTTCTCTGCAGGCAGCTGTCAGCAGGTGTGTGCCTTCTGTTCCCAAACAGAGTTCCTTGCTAACAACCTCACTAAGGCAAGTGAGAGCCAGGAGCCAGAGCTGCAGTCAAGATGTTTTCTTTGTCCTTGGAGCATTAGCAGAGATCCCAGGCTGTGCTCTGAGCGGGCTCCTGTGGTGCAGGATTGGAGCTCTGGGGTCTTGTGAAGTCAGGGACTGTGTCTGACACCAGACAAAGCTGACAAATTACTCCTGTCTGGAATTTCCTCCTAAAGAACACAAGAGATCACTCACTTGAGGCACGTGGTGCACACTGGAACTATGTGCCAAGGCAGGAGAGCTCTGCAACCCTCGGGCAGCCTTCCTCCCACCACAGCCCAAAAGCTACTCTGCAGGGTCCTGTTCTTTACAAGATACTTTAATTTACTTTAATACTGCTTTAATTTTGACTTGTTGGGTCTGAGGGTCCACTAGAAAACGTGTTTACTCGCTGCCTTACACCTGAGTGTTGTTAAAACCCTGGGTGCTGAGACAGATCTCCTGTTGGAGACTTGGGAGTTCCACCTCCCTGAGTGAGCAGCGTGGCTTGAACCCTGCTGCTGCCTTGCTGCAGTGGGATGTTTGCTTGCTCTCCAAGGGCCCCTGAAGGATGGAGCTAAATAAACCTGTGTTATTGATTTCCCATGCTCAGAGTCTGTGGATAGCATCCGACTGCTGCAGGATAGGGAAGACTTCATTAAGGGAAGATTGCTGGCCTGAGGTACTGCCTCTGTGCAGCCCCTGCTTCTGGAGTAGCAGGGCACTGGATGGGGTGCCTGGGAGGTGGGTGAGTGTGTGTTGTTCACAGAGGCCTCTGGGCAGATTATAGAGACTTGTAACTTTTTTATTGGCTCTTTGTTGATGTTTAAACTTTACAGTGTCTCTTTGGTCACATTTGTGAGCTGGGGAGGAGGGAGATGGATGAGATCTGTCTACCTGCCTCCTAGTGTTTAAAGGATGGAATAGTTTAAATTAATCTTTCTGTGCTGAAGTCCTTGAGCAAGTACTCTGCTAGGCTGGAGCCTGCTGTCACAGAGAAGGTCCCTGCTCTTGACAGGGGCATCTCTCAAACTCTGCTGGCTGCCCTTCTACAGGAAATACTCCGTATTTCTCACTGCTGCTCCAGCCTCCTGTTGGAGCCTGCAGGGAATCTGTTTCTGTTTCTCTCTGGCATTTTCTTCTTACATACTGAAATGTGTCTCACGTGGGAAGGTGCAGTTTCACTTGTTAATCCAAGAGCAGATGGGGAAGGTTGGGGATGTCCTTTTATTTCCTTCAGCTCTGATTTAACTGTGACAGTGAAGCTGGCACAACCCACAGTCTTGCACTGACTAGGACAGTGCTCTGCAGAGGTTATGGGAGTGGGCAAGGTGCTAAAAGTGATGCTGAATTTGAGATACCACAGCAGGTTTTTGCTGGGTTTGCCCAGGACTGAGGCCTTGGGCAGAAAGCTCCGGGGAGCTCAGGGCAGCTCCAGCCTTGTATCATCAATGTGGGGAAGCCCATTTTGAGCCATTTTGTTATCCTGTGTGTTGCCTAAAATTGGCTCTTAAAATAAAGCTCTAAGACTCAACTGGTGAGTTTTAGGAGCCAGGCATTCCTTCATTACGATGCACTGTGTGGGCACAGCACACTGGCTGTCCTGGCAATCAGCTCCCCAGGTGCTCACAGGGGTATCTCCACTGCAGCTGATGTGGCAGCACTACAGGACTGTTCATTTTCACTCCCTGCATTCCTGTTACATATCCAGGACATTCCCCAACCCCTGTTCCCATATACACAAATCCTTATAAGGTCTCTGAAGGGCTCCATCGAGGGTCTCTGGTGGTCACCTGTGCAGCCAAACTCTGTTACACCAAACAACTTGTTCATTCTTCAAAGTCAGCTTGACTTGGCTTAGGTTGGGTCCTTGCTGAGCTACACTAAAGCAAGGTGCTGTTTTAACTGCTTTAAAGATCAAATAGATTCTTTTATATTTGAGGAAGACATGAGGTTTCACCTTATTTGAAACAACGAAGCTTTGAATGTGTTAACGCGTCCTGAGCATGGGGTAGTTTCTTCTTGCAGAGAAAACCTCAAAAGTGGCTGTTACTGCCTGGCTTTGGGAGCTGCATAAGGAAAATGGCCTGGACTCATCTTGATAACCCCATGCAAGGCAGGGTTATTTGCCTCAATTAAAATATCAGCCTGAAACCTCTCTCAGTTCTGCTGGAGCTGATTCTGACTTGATGCATCTTCCTGTTTTCACACTTTTGCCATCCTGGTTCAGACTCTGATGGAAATGGAGCTGAAAGGTTCCAGGAGGGAGGCTGTTCTGATGCTTCCAAGAGCAGAAAATGTGGAAAGTATCAGCAGCAAGTTCATTGTACACCTGTGAACAGGGGGAAGGTCTGTTGGCAATGAGTTCAACATGGTGTTAACAAGGAACCCCACTTGTCTTCAGCTAAATAAAACTTGTCTTACAGCCACTGCTCAGGGAAGCATTTCTTCCAGATCCAGTGCTTTGATAACCCCCACTCCTCTGGATATATGCATTTCCAGCAGAGGTGTTCACATGGATGTGGTTATGGAACAGGATTATTCCTCAGTGTTCTGTGGACCAGGGCATGTGTATCGTTGTCAGCTGGAAAACACTGTGGGGGTGGTGGGAGCCTGGGACCAGCTGCTCCTTTCCTGCAGTCCAAGAGTCCAGAAATGGTGCAGAATGAAATCAAACCTGCCCTGCACCCCAGCCTTGTGTGCCCCAGGTGCTCACATGGGCCAGAGCTGGGCTTTCCAGTGGGGAAGCTGCCCTGCTTTTTGGGAACATGCCTCCCTGTGTGGAACCTCTGATACACCTGAATGCTGTAGAATGACCTTCCTTGTCCTTCTTCAGCAATTCTCCTTCCACGTGCTGTTTGTTTCTGGTCCCATGTTTATCTGACTGCTCAAAAATAAAAACATGTTAGGAACTGCATCCAATGTTAAATGTTTCCTGGGACCTCCTTTCTAAGAATCTGGACCCAGCTTGTGTGTTTGTGTGCTGTTTGTTCCTGGCTTCATAATTTGATAAAGAAAATAATTTCCAAGATCTAATTTTGACCTTTATAAAGACAGCAGACGATTTAAAATCATGGAAGCCTGGGATGGTTTGGCTTGGAAGGGACCTTAAAGCCCATCCAGTCCCACCCCCTGCCATGGGCAGAGACACCTTCTACTATCCCAGGTTGCTCCAAGCCCTGTCCAACCTGGCCTTGGACACTTCCAGGGATGGGGCAGCCGCAGTTCCCCTTGGCCCTGATTATTCATCATGGCTACAGAAGCTGTGGAAAATGCACAAACAACAATAACCAAGGTCAAAGAAGGACATTCCCTGGTGAGGCTCCTGGAGAGCAGCAGTGGAAGGAGCAATGCCACAGATGTATCCACCTGCTCATCACTGGCCTCAGTCACCTTCCCTGGACACAGGGTGTGATCCAGGGAGAGCTTAGTGAGGACTCAGAGTGGTCCTTTGCCTGAAAACCTTTGGAATCTCTGATGTTGCACTGTTCAGTGAAACCAATGGAGGCTGTGAATTCTTTGCCATGGCACTAAACCTGAACATGTCATTGCTTCACAAGCACATTTCACCTCAAGGAGTGTTTGGAATATGGTGTGCCAAGGCCTGTGCAGGGAGGATGGGAATGCTGTAGGGAAAGCAAGTTTTTGGTCTGGCTTATGGGATGTTTCAGGAGCATGTGGTCCTGCTTGCAGCACTCACTGCACCGCTGGGAAACAGGCACAGAGCCACCAGTGCTGTAAACACAACGTACTCCTGCCCAGAGAACACTCAATTACAGGTCCAACCATGTCCCAGTGGCTGAGCAGATAGTTTTTGGGGTTTTGTACAAGATCTCACTGCTTTTATGGTATTGTGGCATCTGTGGCCACTTGGCTCCCTGTGCTGTGGTCTGCTGCCCTCTGACTTGTGCAGATCAAGCTGGAGTCACTCTGGGAGCTGTCAGGAATCCCTGACTTTGTGGTTTGGGCTCAAAGTAGGACACAAATACACCCCTGCACGCCCACTCAACAGTTCTGCTCTCCAGAGGTGGTTGGCCCATATTGGCTTTTGCGGTTTTAAAGGTGTCGTTAATCCTTCCCGGAATGCCAGGGCCCCGAGGGCGGAGCAGCCCCGGGAGCAGCGGGAGGGACCGGGCTTTGGGGAGCTGGGAGTTCGCCCTGCTGTGCAGTGTCACAACTCTTCACTAGAGGACAGCATTACACATGGCAAAGTGTCATTAGCGCGGAACAGCGCCCGGAGAGATTTCTTAGGGATTATGTGCGTGCCAGGAGTAAGCTGGGGTTGAGGTTACACGATAATTCCCTAGAAGTCGGGAGCCATCCAGTCAGGGGCGTTTAACACCGTGGCTTAAATCAGTGTCTGCAGACCTTGTCTCCTAAAATATCTGAAGGGTGATGCTGGGGGAGGCAGAGCCTGCTGGATAGGTAGGACAGGGAGACAAGGAAGAGTCTACACTAAAAAAAAAGAGGGAAATTTTTGCATATCAAAACTGTTGCAGCAGATGGTGGGATGCCCAGTGGTGAAGGTGAGGGATATAGGACGGGTGTGCCCTGGATGAGGGCCTTGCAAGAGAGAGGAGAGGAAGGGTGGTTGGAATAAGCAAGCACTGCTCCCGCCCGCTCCGATAGCGGAGCTGTGCGCTGAGGGCAGGACTGCTGCTCCATCCTCTCACTGCTCCATCAGCCCCTGTGGGGACAGAGGCTCCCACAGAGCAGGCACTGGGAAATGGAAGATAAGGAGGCTGGGCTGGGCAAAAAGAAGGGAGCTGCAGCTTTGGGGACCACCTTTGTGCAAACGGGACCTTGGCCCTTGATGCCGTGGCACCGAGTGGCCTCACAGGACTTGGGCACTGCTCTTCATACTGCTTGTGTTTGGTTGGGTCTTAATTATTATCGTTTTATTTATTATTTTATTATTTTAGGGGTTTATTCCTTAGGGAAAGCTGCCCTTGAGTGACATGTGAGTAAAGCTGTGGCAGGATTCTTACTTCCTTCAGGTTTGTTGATGAGGCAGAGGAAGCTGTTGACTGTCCTGGTCTGAGGGAAGGCAGGACAGGAGCAGCTTTTCTGGGAGGCCCTGCTTCTGGCTGGAAGCACCCCAGGATCACAGAGCTGTGATAACTGTGCTAAATATCAGACAGACCACTGGATCCAGTAGCTGTGACTGATCTCACCTGCCCTCGGCAGTACCAGGTGGCAAAGCTCATCCCACCTCTCACTGTGACCTCCCTCCAGGGCCTTCCTGCAGTGCTGTCAGTATTCCAGAGGCTGGGAGAACAGCACCTCTGAACAAGATTGATGCCCTCTGTCCCTTCCCCTGCTGCTCCCTCATTCAAAGGGAAGAAGCCCTGGAGCTGCTCTGACCTTGGAGAAGGGATCAGGGGAGGGTGGAGAAATTTCGTTCCTCGACCCTTGCTGTCATCTGCTGCTTCTCTTCTTGGGAGTAACAGCATTCCCTGAGTGGGGGATCCTGTGACCCTGCCGTGGCTGGGCCTGGAATTCCCCAGTGACCCACATGGCACGTGCAAAGGAAGCTTAATGCCACGGGTGTGGCTCAGCTGTGAGACCAGAGGTCTGTGGAAAAGTGCAATGTGTGTTAGTAAGTGCAGAAAACACAATGATAGCTGGAAACTTGGAAGCTCTTATTCCCAGTTTGTTGTGCAGATAAACCCTTTAAGGACATGTACAAAGGATGTTGGGTTTGTTTCCTTTTCAGGAATCTCCGATTCCTGCCTTCTTTGTTGTTTCACAAGTGGAGAACTTGGTACAGTTCCACTTAATCTCTCCTGCCTCGTGCCACTAACACCTGAGAATGCCCTTAAGATTCCTTCAGGCTGCATTCCTGGCTGTCCAGGCTGCTCCAAAGCACCAGACTTACCCAACTGGGTCCATCAGGGCTGGGAAGGAGGGAATAAAACATGCAGCTGGCTGCTGTGGCACAGTGGGGGGGTTGTCCCCCCTTCTCAGAGAATCTGTGCTACCTCTGACAGCCTCTTGTCCCTCTTGAGGACTGACAAGTGCCACACCCCAGCTTTTATAGGAGACAAGGATGACGTCCCACTGTGTGTCTGGGAATCCTTTCCAGCCAGAGTGGCACACTGATCTCCACTGCCTCTGACCAAAATAACCTTACCCTTGTTGGACCTTTCAGAAGCCACTCCTGGGGAGCCAGTGCCCATTGGCCACCAGAGCCCCTCTCCTCCTTTGCTGCCCACATGGAATTAATTCCTTCATTCCAGGGTCAGGAGCAGGGACTCCTTGGCTCTGTTTGCCTTTAACCTGTTCTGCTTTGGGTCACTTCCCTGCAGCCTCGTCACTACAATCCCCCCTCTCCCACCTCTCCCATTCTGTGTCCCACAGTGTCTGCCACAGACTCAAGTGAGTCCGGAGAGTAGTGCAGTTCCTCGGGACTCTGGGAATGTTTTATTTCCTCTGGGGAATTTCCAGCTGCTCTGCTGGTCTGTCTCACTTTCTGGATGACGTTCAGAGGAGCCTGTAAGAGGAAGGCTGGACAGTGCAGCGATGGAGTGAGTTGCTTTCCCGGGATATCTGGCCCATCGCGCGGAGGGGGCAGTCCGCCTGCGGCCAGGGCCGGGCTGCTCGGGACCGCAGCTGCCGGAGCGCTGCTGGCAATGCCTGCACTCCCTCAAGAGAACACTTAAGGAAGTTGAGCTGCGGAAGTGGAGCGAGCCGGGTGCCTCGCGAGCTCCGCTCCGAGGAGCGGGTCCCTCCGGAGGCACAGCGGGTCCCTGCCCGCCTGCCCTCGGGCACCTCGGCCACCGCCTGCCTCGCTGGGTGCCCTGGGGTGAGGCTCTGCTCGCCTGGAGAGCTGCTGATTTACAATGCAGATTCCTCGCTCCCTGCCCCTCCTGAGCTGGGCTGGGATATAAGAGGCTGTTTGCTCTCCGATGCCAACAGTGGCCATGGCAGAGCGCCCTGCAACGTGAGAGGCACAGATAGAGCAGAGGGGCCGAGCGGGAGCGGAGCGTGCGGCTGCCCTTGCTCCTGGAGGCTGAGGAGCACAGCGGCGGGACCATGTCCGTGCTGACCCCCGTGCTGCAGCCCCCCGAGGTGAAGGAGTACCTGTGCAAGGGCGAGCGCTTCATCAAGTGGGACGATGTGAGTACTGGGGCTTGGTTTCCCCACACTGTGTCTGCGGTGGCCCCGAGACACCGTAGTGTGGTCAGGGTTTGTGGGGAGCCTCAGTGTGCTGGATGGGACGTTGTGTGTCCCACCTGAGAGCAGAGATCCCTGCGTGGGGAGAGGGAACTGGGAAGAACAGGAGAGCCGAAGGCTAAAATTAAGGGCATTGTGTGCGTGAGGGGTTGGGGATGTGGCGGCTGCACCTCTGGTTGGGGACGATGGAAGCAAACAGAGTGAGTGTGCAGTGGGTCTGCGTGTGCAGCACTGGGGTGGGACCCAGGGTCCACCCTTGGGGAGGATCCCACTGGGATCTCCCTGGGATGAGAGGCACACACATCACATTCGGATTGTCCAGAGGAGCCTGAGGGGTAGGATCTGCTCCAGAGCTGAAAGGGCTCACTGTGCTTTGCAGACAGAGAGGAAATCGGGCTCCAAGTTGCTTCCTCTTATGGCCCTATTGCTTGAGTGGAGCAGGGGGCCGTGGCCTCCCAGGCCTGCCCTGCTCCTGGCTCTGGGAATTCCCAAGTCACAGTGACAGCGTGGCAAAGGGCCTGTGCTTTGACAGGGCTGGAGCCTTGGGGTGCTGCAGGAAGCTGCTGCTCTTTCCAACTCTGTGTCCTCTTTACCTTCAAAACAGCTGGTTTGCAGTCCTGCCCTCCTGTGTGAGGGGAAGAAAGTGAGGAGTAGAAGGTAATTTGAACATAACGGTTCCCACCGTTGTAAGGAGGCAAAGGAGTGTGTTCACCCCAGTACCCACACACCTGAGCAGGAGATGCATTGTCTGCTGTTGAGCAGGGATGTGAGAAACGGGGGGAGCCCAGGTTGTGGTTATTCACCAGGATCTGGGGACACGGTTGTTGATGTGTTGCAAATGAGATGATCAGAAGGAGCCTCCAGCAGCAGTGCAGGAGGGATTAGTGCTTTTGTGGGTGTGAAGCTGGAACAGAGTTTGAAGTCCCAAGGCAGTGTGGGGGGGTAGATCACTTGTGTGCAGCATCAGCACAATGTCCAGGGCACCAAGAAATGAGAGGGCAATGTGCTGTGCAGCTGACAGAGGGGATGTGTGCTGAGGAATACAGGTTGGAATATAAACAGGAGGATGACACCAGGGTCCAGTGGAAAGTGCAGCCTTCCCCCTCCTTCCCATGGGCCCACTGCCTGCAGGGTGCACTTGGGGCTTCTTGGAATTTGAACAGGGATCTGGTTTCTGAGAATAACAGTAGCCAAAGTTGTCTCAAATTGCTGCTGACTTTGTACTCGGTCCTTGGAGGCCATTATCCCAAAAACTTGAAGCTGTTCAGTACTTCACTGGGAATTCCTGGGATAGGCTCCCTTGAAACCTAAGGTGGGCCAAGTTGGGCTTCCAAGACCCACCAAGTGTTTATTTGCTCCTGTAACCACTGGAGTTCATGAGCTTCATTCCTGCCTGGATCTTTCCTTAAAGTTTACAGATTTGTAAACATTCCTAAAAGGTTGCCTCAGCTAAACAGTTTGGAGGCTTGGTCTCCACCAATAACAAAGGCTTCTCCATAAGTGGGCTGTTCTGGTCACGTTGCTCCATCACATCGAGCTTTCCCAATCCAGGGTGAGAGCAGGCTGCAGAGGGTGATGGGGAGAGCTCCAGACTGCAGGATTGCTGTGCTTTAGAACCCCTGGATGTTGGTTTTCTGTGTCTCTCTTTGGGTTGACCTGGCCATACTGTTGGCAACAGTTTGGAACTCCTTCCACAATAAGTGAGGCAGAGGAGTGAAGGTAGATCAGATTGGGCTATTACATCACTCTGTACAGTTTGGGACTAGACTGGAGGCTTCCAGCAAAAAAAGCAAACCCACACTGTTTCTAGAGAGCCCTCACCTTGTCCAGCTTTTGTAGGCATTGTCTGGAGGAAAGGGCAGTGGATCCCTGATGGGCAGGGCTGTTCTGACCTGGCCCACAGTTCCTGCAACACCTTGGGGTAAGGAGCATCTCTGCTTTGGTCAGTACCCAGCAAACTGCCAAGCAGGCTGAAGAGGACATGGACAGTAGTTTAGTTCAAGAACCAGCTTGGGAATCCTTTCAGAACCTCAGGGAGGGCGCAGAGTAGTAGGTGACCTCTTAAGTGGGGCAGTTGTGTGTGGGTTTGCTCTGTGCTGATTCTTAGCCCTTGTAGTAGAAGCAAAACTGTTCCTATCTCTGCAAGACTCTGAATGACAGCATTTTAGCAGACACTGCTTGCTTTCTGCCCTGAGTCGAGCCCCACAGTGTGAGCAGCAGCCAGTGTGGCTGCCAGACCATCTTCTGTAGAATCCTTATTCCCTTTGCTGCCAGAAGCCCCCCATAGGAGACCCTGATGGCACCCCAGGCCAGCACAGCCCTGCTCAGGAGCCTCCCTGCAGCCTCAGCTGACCTTCAGAGCTGCTCCATTGCAGATAAGGCTAATCTAGAACATGGCACAATGCTCTGGGTAGGAGCACAGTGCCTGTGCTGCTCCTCGTGGCTCGTGGCCACGTGTGCAGGGAGCCAGCCAGGAGCTCTGGGAACACGGACATGGTGCTGGGCAGGTCAGTGCTGTCCCAGAGCTCTGGGAACA